TTTTGCTCAGCCTTGCGTGACCCTCCCACCCCCAGAAGAGATTCATTTAGTAATTATGCCAATAGAAAGCAAGTTTTTTAAAAAAAAATAAATCAATGAATAGTTGATCAAACTATAAGAAGAGAACGTGTCTTCCCCGATAGTCCTATTGAGGTTAATCATTGGGAGGCCAATGCAAAATATTTTCTAGCACCACCGGTGTTTTAATAACCGGATTATTACCTGCATTTTGGCAACATCTTATTTATTTATTTATTGAATTTCTATACCGCCCTACTCCCGAAGGACTCAGGGCGGTGAACAGCCAGATAAAATACATATAATACAAATGTTAAAAAAAGCATTAAAATACAATTAAATAATTGGCCCGGAAAACGAAATTTAAAACACCCCAAATTCATAAGACAAATTTAAAATTGAAGACTTTTAAAAGTTTTAAAAGTTTAAAAGAGAGGTTAGGCCAGGCCCGGCCTGCTGGAAAAGAAATGTTTTGATAATCTGGATAATTCCCCAATAGGATTGGGCACATTTGGCTAAAAAACAACTCTTCGGAGGCTCAGTCGGTGCCCGGATGGCAAGGCAACGGGCATTGAACCCAAACTTCCCTGAGCAAATTCGCGGCGTTCAATTAACTTCCCTCCACCCCGTTTCCTCTTTCTCAAGTCGAGGCCGTGTAGCGACCGGGAGATCCCTTCTCCCCTTAAACAACCCCTGCAAAATCTTGACCTCGCTTGGCGCTGGGGCAAGCGTGAAATGCGAGCCGGCCAAGAAGTTGCTTCTTGGGGGCTCTCCAAGTCCCAGAATCTCTTTTGTCTTGCTTCTCTCCAGGGTATCAATTGATTTTTTTCTCTTTCTTTCTTTCTTTCTTTCTTTCTTTCTTTCTTTCTTTCTTTCTTTTCTTTCAAAGCTAGGGTTTCGTTGCGTTAACGGCAATTTGGCCGGGGTTTCCTCACGAAAATAACTTTATCTCCACCCCCCTGCACCCCCGCCTCCTTCCTGTAAGCAAATTTACCATCAAACTTATTTATTATGTATTCGCCACGTATTGTGCTGTCCCACTCACACACGTAACGGTGGTTTAGTGAGTCTATTAATATTTTATTTTATTTTATTTATTTATTTATTTTATTGAATTTCTATACCGCCCTACTCCCGAAGGACTCGGGGCGGTGAACAGCCATGAAATAAAACACATACATACACAAAATATAAAATCGAATAAAATGAATTAAATGAATTAAATGAATTAAATACATTAAATAAATGTTAAATATTCCCCCAGCTCCCTTCACCAGAACCCCAGAACAGGGGTGAAATGCTCCCGGTTCGGACCGGATCACCCGATCCGGTAGCGATGGCATGACCACGGAGACGTCTTCGGGCAGCGCTGGCTCTTCGGCTTTGAAACGGAGATGAGCACCGCCCCCTAGAGTCAGGAACGACTAGCACAGATGTGCAAGGGGAACCTTTACCTTTACCTTTTTGTTGGTGAACTCTCTCCCCCAGAAACCCTCACTTTGGGCCACTCTGGCCAGGGACGTGGCAGTCCAACAACAAGGCCGCCGTTTTTTTTAAAGAGCTGAAACCTCACTCCGCTCCTTTAAGCATCCTGTATAACTTCTCCATTTTGACTTCAGATGGCTTTGAGGTTTTGGGTGGGGTGAGGAGATGACTCAGACCTCGGTGTCTGTTTTCCATCAGCTGGAATTCCCAGGAAGGGTGATGATTCCACCAGCTGGGCAAAAAAAAAAAAAAAATACCAAATCAGTGTTTTGAAAGCGCTAAACTTCAAAACCGGCTCCCAACCGGGCAAGGTTTGAGCCGGATAAAACTCTCTGGTTTACCGCTCGAGTATCAGTTTCGGTTTGTTAACTGTAGCATTTCCAAGAACGGCCTTTCCGAGCCCCTGAACTGCAAAACTACATCCTAAAATCCCGGCCGCACCCTTGATCAGAATGGACCGAATGCAAAAAATCTATGGAATGCATACCCCTGGCTGCCCCGCACTTTATTTCGGTCTGGTTTGGCAGCATTCTTGGCTTTCAGATTTACATCTCCTTTTTTGGCAGTATTTGGGAAGCCGGGCTGGTTCTGTTTGAAGGCAACCTTGCTGCAAGAGAGTTTTCTCTTTGTGTGACTTTGCTTGACTTGGGGGGTGGGGGGTTTCAAAACCTCTGCCCCATAGGTTCCTTGGCAGTGTCCTGGTAACCCTAATTAAGAGCGTTGGAAGGTTGCAGATTGGTTACATCTTGGCGTGGTGGTTTTATAAAACCTGGGCGGGGGCGATCTTGAGCCTAAGAAAATCAAATTAGCTCACCTGTGTACCTGCTACGGTATTCTGGTATGTGTGAACAGGTGCAGGCATGTAGGCCAATTCTAGTTTCACACTCAGGATTAGGTGCGTTTAAGATTAATCTTGCTTGGTGCAAGAATCTGGGCTTGTTAGCTGGAAAGGTTCGAGACCCGAGCGCCACAGGACGGGGTGAGCGCCCGTCCTCGCCTCAGCTCCTGCCCACCTAGCATTTTGAAAGCGTGCTCCATCACTGGAAGCTTTCAAAAAGAGACTGGACTGCCATTTGTCAGAAATGGTGTAGGATCGCCTGCTTGGGCAGGGGGTTGGACTAGATGACCTACAAGGTCCCTTCTAACTCTGTTATTCTGTTTCGGTTAAATGCGAGTAGATAAATAGGTACCACTTTGGTGGGAAGGTCACAGCGCTCCCTGTTGTCAGGACCGTGGAAATTTCTTTGGACAGCATGGGCTCCACGGCCTTGAAATGGAGATGAGCAGCACCCCCTAGAGCCGGCAATGATTAGTGGAATAAAATCTATATTACCTTTTCTTTTTTTTAACCTTGGTTTGTTTAGAAGAGAGGTGTGGAATGATGGCTCCTTTATGATTTGTGGACTTCAACCCCCCAGAATTCCTGAGCTGGCAATGGCTGGCGAGAATGACTGGTCAGAAACGGTGTAGGGTCTCCTGTTGGAGGGGGGTTGGACTAGATGACCTACAAGGTCCCTTCCAACTCTATTAATCTGTTAAATCTGACTTACAGCTAAAACAGAGCCCCAAATTTTCACCGCTAAGCAAATACAGTTATTGTGAGCTATGTCCCATTTTACCATGACCTTTTTGGCCACGGTTGTTAAGCGAATCACTGCAGCTGTTCAGTGGACTCTGGCTTCCCTCCCCCCCAGCTGACTTTGCTTGTCAGCAGCCAGCAGACTCTCCAACCGTCATAAATAACACGCCAGTGGCCAAGGGCCACTTTCGTGACGCTAAGCCAGGATATAGTTAAAACATAGCTTGTTGAAGCTGTTGCATCTTCGTTACACGAAGCGTGCAAAATATAAGCCATAAGTCAATTTTTTCAGTGCTTTTGTAACTTCGCATGGTCACTAAGCGAACGGTTGTAAGTCGAATTCTCCTTGTACTTCCTTTTTTTTTTTTTTTTTTTGCCTTCCCATTTTATGCCTCCGGCTTCTGAAAACATAATTAGAAGGAGATTGCGTAGGAAGGAGATGGACTTAATGGCCCTGGAATCCGCTTAGTTGGAGGCTGTTTTCGGCCGCCTGGTGCTTTGCTCTTTTAATCTTACCTTGGGCCAGGTAACCACAACGGGCGGGGAAGGGGAACACGCAAATCCTTCTTGCTGTATTAAATGTGTAGTCCTTTATATAAAATAGAATAGGAGAGTTGGAAGGGACCTTGGAGGTCTTCTAGTCCAACCCCCTGCTTAGGCAGGAAACCCTACATCACTTCAGATAAATGGTTATCCAATCTCTTCTTAAAAACTTCCAGTGTTGGAGCATCCACAACTTCTGGAGGCAAGGAGTTCCACTGGTTAATTGTTCTCACTGTCAGTAAATTTCTTCTTAGTTCTAAGTTGCTTCTCTCCTTGATGAGTTTCCACCCATTGCTTCTTGTCCTGCCTTCAGGTGCTTTGGAGAATAGTTTGATTCCTTCTTCTTTGTGGAAGCCCCTGAGATATTGGAAGACTGCTATCATGTCTCCCCTAGTCCTCCTTTTCATCAAACTAGACATTCCCAATTCCTGCAACCGTTCTTCATATGTTTTAACCTCCAGTCCCCTAATCATCTTTTTATTTTAAAATAAATTTTTATTTGAGTATAAATATTAAAAAAAACATAACATAACATATACACAACAAACATTTATACAACATATAAACAAAAAGATTATGTTTCCTTAAGCATTTTTTCGAAGTGAAAAAATTTCACTTATTTATTCTACTTATAATATATTTCTTCACCTCTCCTTAATCTAATAACATTTTTTTAAAAGTCAGGACTAGTTCCTGCAACCGTTCATCGTATGTTTTAGCCTCCAGTCCCCTAATCCTCTTTGTTGCTCTTCTCTGCACTCTTTCTAGAGTCTCCACATCTTTCTTACATCGTGGCGATCAAAACTGGATGCAGGATTCCAAGTGTGGCCTTATTACCAAGGCCTTATAAATTGGTATTAACACTTCACGCGATATTGATTCTATCCCTCTGTTTATGCAGCCTAGAACTGTGTTGGCTTTTTCGGCAGCTGCTGCGCACGGCTGGCTCCTATTTAAATGGTTGCCCACTAGGACTCCCAAGATCCCTCTCACAGTTACTACTATTGAGTTATTACTACACAGTTACTACTATTGAGAATATTGGATACTATTCTAGTATCCAATATTCAAAGTACATGCAACTGAATGGAGCTAGCAGAGTATTTTACTGGCCGGATGCCCTTCTTGTTGCCAGTACGGAGTTTTGTTCGGCAGATATATTCCCAGTGTGCCCAGAGAGAGAACTATCCGCCTCTACCTAGGATCGAACTCACAGCCTCCTGATTGTGAGGCGAGAGCTTCCCCTCTAGGCCACCGCACCGCTCCCCAACATCTTCAACAAGCTGTGTTTTAACTATATCCTGCCTTAGTCTCTGCGTCCTTAAGAGCGAGGCTCTCGGTCCAAGGCGTAACTTTTTTGTCCATTGTGCCGCAGGCTGGAGGAGCTGCCGTTGGACGTGCTGAGGCAGAGGGAATCGAAATGGCTGGACATGCTGAACAACTGGGACAAGTGGATGGCGAAAAAGCACAAGAAGGCAAGTCAACGACATTGAAAGCATCGCGCAACCACTGGCATCCTTCTCTCTCCTCTGGGCGCCCGAATCGCTTCTCTGGGTCTTCATCCTTGCTCTGTCTCAGGGGCAGAGCTATGAAGACTTGTGGACTTCAATTCCCAGAATTCCTGTGCCAAATGGGAACCGTCACTCTTTTCATGGCCGTGGTAACTTTGGAACAGTTACTAGGTCGCTAAACGGGTGGTCCTAACTTGAGGACTTCCTGTACATTTATTTGGGGGGGTAAAGAGCAGCTGTTCCTTTGGTTCTGCTCCTCTGCCAGCTTCAGCCCAGCTGTACAGATCCAGAGTGGGAAAGGGGAAAAAAAATTTTTTTTGCAGGGGTGGCAAAAGACAGAACGGGACGCTGTGGCTCAGTGGCTAAGACGCTGAGCTTGTCGATCGAAAGGTTGGCAGTTCAGCGGTTCGAATCCCTAGTGCCGCGTAACGGGGTGAGCTCCCGTGACTTTGTCCCAGCTTCTGCCAACCTAGCAGTTTGAAAGCAGGTAAAAAAATGCAAGTAGAAAAATAGGGACCCCCTTTGGTGGGAAGGGAACAGCGTTCCGGGCGCCTTTGGCGTTGAGTCATGCCGGCCACATGACCACGGAGACGTCTTCGGACAGCGCTGGCTCTTTGGCTTTGAAACGGAGATGAGCACCGCCCCCTAGAGTCGGGAACGGCTAGCACAGATGTGCGAGGGGAACCTTTTACCTTATTCTATATATTCTAATCTAAACTAATAAAAAGGAAAAACAAATTGCCGAAAAAACCCCACTAAAAACCAACCGAGAGAGAATTGGGAAATTGGGATGCTGATTTGTTTTCATCTTTTAAGTGTTTTTATATTTTATTTTCTTTCTTTCTTTTTTGAAAGTTTTTTTTTAATTTTTATTTCTCATAAACATACATCAATGTACAATCTCTTATCCATTATTAATCATACATATTACCTTTTGACTTTCATATTAGTTCATTTCTTCATCCTAAAGAATTAGGGTATACTCAGGATTGCTCTTCTACCATTCCACCTCCCTTATTTTTACAACAATCCTTCCTCTCCTTCTCCCCTCTTTCCTTCCCTCCCTTCTATCCTTTTCTACTTTCTTCTTCCCTTCTCTCCTTCCCCTTCCTTTCCCCCACTCCTCCCCTCTTCCTCCCTTTTCTAACCCTCTCTCCTACTCTTATTTCCCCTCCCTTTCTTCCTCTCCTTTTCCCTTCCTTCTCTCTCTCTCTCTCTTTTCCTCCCTTCTCCTCTCTTCTTCCTATCTGTCCCTCTACTCCTCTCTCCCTTCCCTCTCCGTTGTTGTGTCCATTTTCAATTCAATATATTTTGAAAATGGCATTCGAGAAATCCCGATTCTCTCTCTATATACAATCTTTTAAGTTTGTGTGTTGTGTATGTGTTTTTTTTCAGCCATGTCTCTCATCGGTGCCTCTTCTCTCCTTTTCAGATCCGTCTGAGGTGCCAGAAAGGAATCCCACCTTCTCTACGTGGCCGGGCGTGGCAGTACCTTTCGGGGGGCAAAGTCAAGCTGGAACAGAATGCCGGCAGGTTTGATGTAAGATGCTTTGGCGAACGAAAAGAAGAAGGGGAAAGTTTCGGCAGGTAGTCCTCGACTTACCAACAGTTCACTTCAGCGACCGTTCGAAGTTACAACGGCACTGGAAAAAAATGACCCCGGATCGTTTATTATCACGCTTAACGGCCGTGGCAGCACACCCCCCCAAGGGTCACACGATCAAAATTCAGACGTTCCGGCCACTGAGTCGTATTTGCGATGGTTGGCAGTGCCCTGGGGGGGTCACGTAATCAATCCCCTTTTGTGACCACCTGACAGGCAACATCAAGGAGGCAGCCAGGTTCACTCAGCAACCGGGTTGCTAACTTAACCGACTGGCAGTGATTCATTTAACAACCGTGGCAAGGAAAGTCGTAAAACAGGGCAAAGCTCACTTAAATGCCTCGCTTAACGACAGAAATCTTGGGCTCAATTGTGGTTGTAAGTCGAGGACCACCTGACAGTAACGCTATCCTATCCTATCCTATCCTATCCTATCCTATCCTATCCTATCCTATCCTATCCTATCCTATCCTATTCTTTCATATTTCTTTTTTATTCTATTCTATTCTATTCTATTCTATTCTATTCTATTCTATTTTACTCTACTCTACTCTACTCTACTCTACTCTACTCTACTCTACTCTACTCTACTCTACTCTACTCTACTCTACTCTATTCTTTCATATTTCTATCCTATCCTATCCTATCCTACTTTCCTATCCTATCCTATTCTATTCTTTTATAATTCTATTCTATTCTATTCTTTCATAATTCTATTCTGTTCTGTTCTGTTCTATTCTGCATTTTATTCTATTTTCCTATTCCTATCCTATCCTATCCTTATTTGTTCTGTTCCGTTCTGTATTTTCCTGCCCTAAAATCGCAGGATTGTTTTAAAACACTTCGTTGTCAGTGTTTTCCTTCCCATGCCTAATGTTGTAATGCTCTCAATCTTTAAATTCTTTGGTGCTGTTATTGAGTCGCTTGATAGTGAGAAGGGCAGCCCATAAATTGAATAAACAGATGAATAAAGCACTTATTTGGGTTTACAGGAGCTGGACGTGGCTGTGGGGGAGCCCAAATGGCTGGACGTGATTGAGCGAGATCTCCACCGCCAGTTTCCGTTCCACGAAATGTTTGCTGCTCGAGGAGGCCACGGGTAAGTGGCTCTGCCCACCCCCTGCCTTTTGGGTCAATACAGGGGGTCCTTTCCACTCCAGCATCGTGGCCTCTTCCTGAGACCACAGGGCCGTGGCTGGACCTTGAACTTTTCTGTCCGCGTGGCAGACAGCGGTTAAAGCTGCAACTGAGCCCAGCAATGGTACGGCAAACAGAGAGCTGTCTGTTTTCCTTCCTTCCTTCCTTCCTTCCTTCCTTCCTTCCTTCCTTCCTTCCCTTCCTTCCTTCCTTCTCCTTCTCTTCTTCTCTATCCTCCTTCTTTTCCTTCCTTCTTCTTTCTTTCCTCTATCCTCTCTTTCTTCTTCTCTTTTTCCTTCCTTTCCTTCTTTCCCTCTCCCTCCCTCTCCCATTCCCATTCTTCCTTCTTCTTCCTCCCTCCTCTTCCTTCCTTCCTTCCTTCCTTCCTTCCTTCCTTCCTTCCTTCCTTCTCCTTCTCTTTCTTCTCTATCCTCCTTTCTTTTCTTTTCCCTTCCTTTCCTTCTTTCCCTCTCCCTCCCTCCCATTCCCATCTCCTTTCTTCCTTCCTCCCTCCAATCTCCTTCCTTCTTCTTTTTCCTCCTTTCCTTTCCTTTCCTTCCTTTCCTTTCCTCTCCTCTTTCCTTCTTTCCCCCTCCCTCCCTCCCATTCCCATCTCCTTCCTTCCTCCCTTCCTCCCATCTCCTCCCTTCTTCTCTTTCCTCCTTTCCTTTCCTTCCTTCCTTTCCTTCTTTCCTTTCCTCCTTTCTTTCCTCTTTCCTTTCCTTCTTTCCCCCTCCCTCCCTCCCATTCCCATCTCCTTCCTCCCTCCCTCCCTCCCTCCCTCCCTCCAATCTCCTTCCTTCTTCTCCTTCTTCTTTCCTCCTTTCCTTTCCTATACTTCTTTCCCCCTCCCTCCCTCCCTCCCATTCCCATCTCCTTCCTCCCTCCCTTCCTCCAATCTCCTTCCTTCTTCTCTTTCCTTTCCTTTCCTCTTCTTTCCTTTCCCCTTTCCTTTCCTTCTTTCCCCCTCCCTCCCTCCCTCCTTCCCTCCCTCCCTCCAATCTCCTTCCTTCTTCTCTTTCCTTCTTTCCTTTCTTTTCTTTTCTTTTCTTTCCTTTTCTTTTCCTTTCCTTTCCTTTCCTTTCCTTTCCTTTCCTTCTTTCCCCCTCCCTCCCTCCTTCCCTCCCATTCCCATCTCCTTCCTTCCTCTCTCCCTCCCTCCCTCTCTTCTTTGATGGTGTCCTTTAACATGGGGCAATTCAGGACAGATAAAAGAGAGACGGCTTTGCCCAGCTTATAATCAAGCAGTGGAAAAGGCAAGCCAAGGGTTTAGAAAGCAGATTATGCAAATTCACGGCTGCTCGACCTATCAGGGGTTGCTAATCTCCTTCCCAAGACTGGAGGCACCAAGTCTTCTAGTGTCCGTTTTAAAAGGACCAAGTGAAGGTGGGCAATTGGGTCCCTAGTGTCTTGGTTCACATTGTTGCTTAACAAAATAACAGAGTTGGAAGGGATCTTGGAGGTCTTCTAGTCCAACCCCCTGCTCAAGGCAGGAGACTTTATACATCCTGTTCAAATAGCCGTCCAATTTTAAAAAAAACTTCCGATGTTGGAGCATTCACAAGTTCTGGAGGCAAGTTGTTCCGCTGGTTAATTGTTCTCACTGTCAGGAAATTTCTCCTTAGTTCCAGGTTGCTTCTCTCCTTGATTAGTTTCCATCCATTGCTTCTTGTCCTGCCTTCAGGTGCTTTGGAGAATAGCTTGACCCTCTTCCTCTCTGTGGCAGCCCCTGAGATATTGGAAGGCTGCTATCCTGTCTCCCCTAGTCCTTCTCTTCACTAGACTAGTCAGGACTAGTTCCTGCAACCGTTCATCGTATGTTTTAGTCTCCAGTCCCCTAATCCTCTTTGTTGCTCTTCTCTGCACTCTTTCTAGAGTCTCCACATCTTTTTTACATCGTGGCGACCAAAACTGGATGCAGGATTCCAAGTGTGGCCTTATTACCAAGGCCTTATAAAGTGGTATTCGCACTTCATGTGATCTTGATTCTGTCCCTCTCTTGATGCAGCCTAGGATTATGTCAGTTTTTTGGAGTCAAATTGTTATTCCCTCTTTGTTTTCTTCTTGTCTGCTTGTTCCGGATTTTAGATTTGTTTATATTGTCTGTTTGTTATTACATGGTTTTCTTCGTTTTTGTTGTTGTTCTTCATTGTATGTTTATGCAGTCATCCTGCCAAATCAACCTTAGAAATCAGAGAGAGAGAGAGAGAGAGAGAGAGAGAGAGAGAGAGAGAGAGAGA